CAAAAAACCAATTAGAAGTGAATATTTAAAAAAAATTCCTCTCAAAACCATTGAATTCATTAATTTACGCCGTTGTTTTATTTTCATTTGCAAAATCCGTTCGAAGTAAATAAATCAGATTTACTGAAGTTTGGAATTTGGCGCAAACAATGAACCAAATGAATTAGACAAAATGTGATAAGATTTGATTGTATACGAATATGGAGCTATTCAGATCGACTCAGTTCTATTTGAACCGTTCAGCGAAAATTGATAATGTTGGTAACATCATCAAATTGGACGGAATCGTTCCAAAATCTCTCTTCGCAATCTTCGATTAGCACTCCAAAATCGGGATTTTTTTTGGCTGAATTTATAATGAAACCACTCAATTTGGATTCCCAAAAAAGAACCAACGATCCGAAAAAAGAAAGGAATCTTATCAAATGTCGATTAGTTTATCATAATCGCTTCGAATCATGTGAGTTTTGCACACTGTTTAAAAAAGTCTTATAAAAGGCAATCGGTCGGTATAGTCATGGTTAGTTCGTTGATCGAAGTGGAGAAAAGAAGTGAATCTGTGTATTCGAATAAAATAATTATTTTTATATTAATTAATTGATTAAGAAAAATACTATCTAAAAAACGATGTCTTTGAAAATAGCTGTGTTATTGTTCTGTGCCTGCATCACATGGGGTGCACATGGTAAGCGATTTGAAGACAATTTAAACAATGCGCAAAATTTTGTCGTCAATTTTCAATCACGTGATTTTAAAACAACTGAAACAAACTCATTGACCGTATTTGCTCTTCGCTTAATTGTTATTACAGTCTAATTTCTCTCATCTTGTTAATAAATCACGCTAATGAATCGATTTAAATTGCGTCTCAAATTTTAGCTGGTCAAAATGGACTACCCGATGATGCTTACAAAATTATCATTCATGCGATGAGAGGTTTCGATGTTTACGGCTCGACTAATGGAGCATGGAAGCTTGAGTATGGAAAATTCCAAGCCGAACGAATTCCCGGAATTGCTGGGCATTTTATCGAAGGCCAAGTTACAGATAAGTTTTTTAAAGGTGAATATTACATCTACATGGCCAAAAGTATTGGTGACAACCGCCGTGAATATTATGCACTGAAAGATGGTGAAAGAGCAGCGAAGAAAGTGAATGGCTTAACCGATGATGTTCAATTACGTGCTATTCACAATTTGGGCGGCGTTATCTTCTACGGTTCGAATAATAATGGAGCGTTCAAACTTGTACAAGGAGAATTAATTGCACATCGAGTGCCCGGAATAAGTGGACCTGTGCGTCGGATTATCTTAGGTGGAAGTGCCAGCCCAGATGATGCCATCTATTTACCAAATTAATTCTGATATTTTCGATTCGGCAAATTTGGCCATTTTGAGCTGTATAATTACTTGTAGCACACTCATATCTATACAATTCCAGTTTACGTGGAATCTAATAAATCAAACGTTTTATAGATTCAGTCAAATATTTGATAGTTATATATTTTTCAGGTGCAAAAAAATGAAAATGACGTCTGAATACACAGTCGAAATTTTAATTCTCGGATTTAAAGTCCACAAAAAACTGGCAAACACAATACATATCTGTAAAAATGATTATCTTGTAAATATTTTCACTGACTAATTCGATAAGTGCCCTTGACTGATAGGGCGTATCAGTGATATGCGCCGGCACCCAGCGCTTATTCTCTGCTATATATTATTCTGATAATCAGTTATCGATTTGTAGCAGTTTAAAAATAGTTGGAAAAATATGGTAACTCATTCGAATTTCTTTGAAATGACTTGAAATTTTCTGTGCATTATGAGAAATACCGAAAGCGAAATGTTCTCAAAGAATATGTTGTACATGTTTCAACAAAAACAATTGAGACAATTCTCTTTCATAAAAAATTTATGTTTATAATGAGCACTATTCTTCGATAGACTCGATTTAATCCTTTTCAACCAATTAGATACAAGTGTACTTGACTGATAACGACACAAATGATAGCCATGAATCCACAGAACAATAGAAAACAAAAAACTTGAACCGATAACACATTGCAAACCTAAATTGTATAAATTGTATGTTGCATCTGTTTGAAATCCATCCCGAGTTTATGTCGACTTGTATTGATCTTAATTGTGAAAATCAAAGAAATAAAAATGAGAAAACTTTTGCTTGTGATAAATATTTTAATGATCGGTTCTACTTTATTAGCTTCAGGTAAAAGAAAATTATTTGAAAAAAAAATCCAAAACCGAATTATTCCATTCAACATTTCATTTCCAACTTCAGCTAATCCACTGTCTCATCGTGATTATCCAAGCAATGCAATAGTCGGTGGATTTGAAACGACCATTGATGAAAATCCATGGCAAGTGTCCGTTCAATATGAATCTCAACACAGCTGTGGCGGTTCAATCATCCGAAATAAATGGGTATTAAGTGCAGCGCATTGCTCTGGGTAAGGGTGTTCGATTATTGAAACTGAATGATTCAGAGCCCTTCCATTTTCATTTATTCTGCTTGTGAATTTCAGTGATGATTTAAATGCATTTTCAATCCGCGTTGGTTCCACTTTCCATCGACATGGTGGTTCAATTATCAAAATGAAACGTATCGTTTCACATCCAAATTTTAATTCTACTTCGACAAATTTTGACTTTGCACTACTGAAACTCGCCGAATCCCTAAAATTCACTGATAAAATACAACCGATAGCACTTTTAAATGCGGATGCAGTAGTTGAAGACGGTACTCCAAGTTTGGTTACTGGCTGGGGTAAAAGAAATCAATTTGATCAAATGCTTGAACTCAAATAAATGGTTATTTTCTTTAATAGGACTCACACAAAATCCAAATGAATCAAATGAAGGTCTTCGTGGCGTCATTGTGCCCATTGTCAACCAAGAATATTGCAAAAGCCTTTATGAAGGAGGCATAACTGATCAAATGATATGTGCTGGATATGATGAAGGCGGCAAAGACAGTTGCCAAAATGATTCGGGCGGCCCGTTATCTATTAAAATTGAAAATGACACAGCTTCTTTGATTGGAGTAGTAAGTTTTGGCAACGGCTGTGCAAAACCTAAATCTCCTGGGGTCTATGCACGTGTGTCGTCAATTAGACCGTGGATCAAAAGTGTAACTGGAATTTAACTCAAGTGAACAATTTCCGTCAATATCATTTTATTATTGAAATATTACAAAGCTAAATCAATTCGATGTTTATAATATGAAAATAATTTCAATAAAGAAAATTAAAAGCAAAAAAAAAAAAAAATCAAAATATCGCTATGGAATCGAAATAATACAAATATACAATGCAACATACTTCATCACATTTACTTTTGTCATCGTGTTCTGGCCAATTAACTATTTTTCTACTCATTCGATATCATAGAAGAAGGTGACACTTTACAAGAATATATTTGTTTTTAACCAAAAATGAAAATGATACGTAACTATGAGCGAAAAGTGAGTGATTATCTCGCTCATCGATAACAAGTACTTTCAACAATGTTGTAAAATATTTTTAATTGCGTCTTTCGAATTACAAAAATGTATTGGGTGCGACAAAAAAAAAACAGTTGTGGTATTTTTTTATAACGTGCTCAGATAGTTCTGAGTACGATTTTTTTTATCATTGATAATATAGGCTTACGATAAAACCTGCGTTTTTTGAAAATGTAAACGACAAGTGGGTATAATCTTAACTAATTTTTCTTGGTTGATTTGGTTGATTACAAAATCTATTCTTACATCTTCCGAAATAAACGTTATCTCTCATGGCATACTGCACGTGAAAAAACGGCAAGAAAATGCATTTCATCACATTCAAAAACCGATTAGAAGATACAGAAACTAGAGAATCATTTTCAGAATCAACCTTGATCTGAGTAGTTTCAATGCAATTCTAATCAATTAAAAATAAACATTGCAATTTCCCATCGTGGCTCATTTCAAACAAGTATCCGATAATAGCACAGCGGTGTTCGGCCAACACTGTTCACGATTTCACTCCTGATTGAGATCAAATCAATATGTGTTAAGCTAAAAATAGATAAACTCTACCAGTTGTTACGTTTAGATTTTATCGGAATCTATAAATGCATGCATTTTAGGCCGACATCGTTTAGTTTGAATTGAGATACTGACCGCTCTATAAACGGAACATAAAAAAGTCATTAAAAGAGACAATTTTGTGTGGATTTCATTTGAATTAGTTAGTAAATAGCTTTGAAGAAGTGTTATCAAAATAGGCCAATTTCGAAATGTTAACTGTTAAATGTTAATGTCGAAATAAATTCTTGTTGTTTGTGAACATTTTCACATCGGGACTGTGTTCAAGCGAAAGCACTTTGAATTTTCAATCAAGTTCCGTCGAGTTCCGTCACGTTCCGTCAAGTTCCGTCAAGTTCCGTCGAGTTCCCTACGGATACGGAACTCAATTTGTTCCGCGGACCTCCGTCTCCGCACGGAACCTGCACGGATTCCGCACGGACGCGGAACTCCGCGGAACAGAGGGAGCTATGACATTTACCCTCTAGTAACCATTGCACTGTGTTCATTGTTTCGTATAGCAGCAAAGAGGAATATGCGAGAGCGCAGTATATAGCGTAATAAGACAACTCGAAGGATTTTCCAGCTCAAAATGAATTCAAAAGAAATTTCAACGCAAAACGAATTTAAAGGAATATAAAAAGCAAGAAACACTTCTTCTTTCATCTTCGTTTTTAAGCAGCTCAAAACTACAGTTTGGCGTTCGATAATATGGAAAAAGTTTACCTGAAATATAAGGATTTACTACCTGGCCGACAAAACATCAACACATACATCGTGTCGGTTAGTTTGCACTCAAATCTTAGCTCGAATATAGAACAATTACACATAGTCAAATGCATGCTGTAAATACAAAGTTAAACACAGCTAAAGACATTTTATTGCTCACACATTGTGATGATGAACAATGACAACGGTTTTGGTCGACATTTTGGCTAATTTAGTCCGAATGTTCCCGTTACTTGCATTTATTCTCAATATTTGGATGCATCTCTTAGTTGCTTGAAATTCCAGTCATCAGTTCCAATTTAAGGTAGACTTTGAGTAACAATAAGTAGATATTGCTTTTATAAATTAATCTGTACCAAGTTCCATGACAATTTTTATTTGTGAAAAGATGGAATTTTTATGTGGTTTACCATAGAAGTGACAGTCTGCCCTTTATTTCACTAGATTCAATGCGTTTTATTTCGATCAAATCGTGATTGGCGTATAAGTTTCCCGGTGCCATTTTCGTATCTAAGTAAACATTTTCTGGTAAATAAATGA